TAAAAAAAATTACCTCACTCGGAAACCCCAGATCAGTTGGACAGAAAGGAGGAAAAAAAAAATCTCTCAATTAGGACAAAACCCTCCAGAAGTGTCAGTGCCACAGTCTGAACTCTGATGAGAGATCCCCACCCTGCAGCAAGCCTCAGGTTGTCCCCCGCCTCCACCCGCCCCGCCTTCCAAACCATCACCAATACATTTATTTGAAGAACTAAGGGTCAAATCTTATCAACTTTTAAACTGGGTAGGATAAGACAGACACACTGCTCTGATGAACTTCTGGGCATTCACAACAGCACAGGTAAGTAGATCTGGCACACAGACGACGGGGACAAATTCTAATTAGTTACSTGATCTCCCACTCAGAGGAAAGTGCTCTCTCCCTATCACAGAAGCAGCGCTGAGAAAAACAAAGGAGGAACCCAGCCAAGGCCTCCGAGCACAGGCCTCGACAAGCCGATGCCTGGTGAAGGTGGGTACCCTGTGTACCCAGCAGGAGAGGGATGCCCCAGCTGAGCTGGGATCTGCGGGTGGGTGTGACCATAAGCCAGCACCCACTCAATGCAGGCCTCCACAGTCACTCTGGTCCTCTACACAAGCACCCAGCGAATTTGGGAAGAAAGGGAATCCTACCTGCGTCCCCAGTCCACCTCCCCTCCTCCCAGGGTAACACAGCTGACCACCCCACTGGGTGCAGGGCCTCCCCCTCCACCTTACTTAGCTTATTCTCACTACTCAGCTCTAGATTCAAATGTCACTCCCACCCTCAAGGAACAAGTTTTSAGCATTAAAAATTAACTACTGGCCTGGCAGGAAGGGGTCTGAGGTGATCCTGCCCACAAATGAGCCACCCTCCCTGAAGCGCAGAGGGAGCCTCCGACTTGTCTCTGACCACAGACTGTGGGGACGGCTGACGGAAAGTCATTCTCCTGGATCAGGCTAGACTGCCTGGCCACTGGTGTTGTGCAGACAGCAACAGGAAACCCAAACCATCACCGAGGACATCCCCCAGACCTCTGCATACACCTGCCAGTCCTCCCCCTCCCCCTTCCCATCTTAGGTTTTAACCTATCACTYCACATCAAGTACAGCCAATTCCTAGAAGTGGAATTCTGCTCGGTCAAAGGACGTGTATGTGTGTTAATTCTGCTAGACCAGTTTGACCATTTATACTCCCCTAGGCAAGGAGTGGGAACGCTGCTTTCCTCCCCTCTTTTCCCACTCCTCGCCCCCTTCAGGCTGACACCAACTAACCTCACATCCCAGTGTGAGCTCTCAACTCACAGGTCAGTCTCCTCACCGTCCTCAAGCTACTCGGGTGAATCTGAAGTCTCCCTGAGAAAGTGGGACCCGACCTACATCCTGGAGGACACGTAGGCTTTGGACAGAGAGTAAGAAGTCCCAGAAGGGCGATGAGAACAGGTAGTGCGCCGGGACAGGAAAGCACAGGACGTAACTAGTGGCAGGCTGGTTTGAGGAAAGGAAGACAATGACTGACAAAGTGGGGCCTCACCTGGAAGGAGTGAGGGCCAGGGGACAGAGCACTGGACTGATGGTCAGAATGCCCACTTCTGGCACCAGCCTAGTGATCATGAGAAAAACTAGCTCACCTGGGCTCCAGCTTCCTCACTTGTAAAACAAGAGAGGTGGGCCCCGAAACCACGCTCTGAAGCTGCAGAAGTGCACGTTCAAAGTGAACTTTAGGGTCAAGGCTAGTGTCAGACAAGCAGGACTGCAATGGTCGAGGGGACAGGCAGGACCTCCTCAGCCCCACAATCCAGTCACCCCACACTGACAAATGGAGGGGTGCCAGGAAACTGCTGAGACAAGCATGGAGACAACTTTCCATGCCAGGACGGCAGACAGGAGAGGATGTGTTGAAGAGCGGAGCCCTGCCCACAGCTCTCACTGCGGCCCCCTCCCCATCACTCACCCAGTCTCTGCGCCCCGTCAGGCAGGGCAACGCTCTGCTTTGGTCACTTTTAGGCTTCAACTTTCACCATCAAAGGCCCCTTGGCCTCTTTTCTAGCAGAAAAATGTGCAAATTTTTTTTTTTAATGTCAGGTTTGACAATTCCTACGCACCAGTCTTTCTTGAATTATGCACAACTGAGAAAGTGCACTGATGAAAAAGTTGTGACCCAGCGTTCACACCAGCCGAGAGTCAGACACAGCCAAGACGATTGCGGACAGATGAGAGCAAACGGAATGTGTATATCCACACGGGGGAGCGGTACTTAGCCACAAAGAAATACCTGACACCGCTACAATGTGAACTGATCTTAACAACACCACGCAGCAGGCAACCCATGGACACGGAATACCCAGAACAGGCAGATCCCAAGAGACTTTAGAGATCTGTAGTTGCCAAAGTTTGGGGTGAGCAGCCACGGGAAGTGCTAGGGTACGGGCTGTCCTTCTGGGGTGACCAAAAGACCCCTGGACTGGAGAGCATGGACGGCTGAGCATACTGAATACACTGTTACAGAACCACTGCACATTCTAAAGTGGTAAATTTTATATTATGTGAATTCTATCACGATTAAAAAAAACCACACTTCTGCAAATTCAATACAATTTAAAATAAATTTGCATCTACTCTTTTTTTTTTTTTTTAAGGGGGGTGGTACCAGGGATTGATCTCAGGGGCCCTCAACCACTGAGCCCCATCACCAGCCCTATTTTGTTATTTAGAGACAGGGTCTCACTGAGCTGCTTAGGGCCTTGGCGTTAATGAGGCTGGCTTTGAACTTGAGATCTTTCTGCCTCAGCCTCCCAAGCTGCTGGGATGACAGGCATACGCCAGCATGCCTGGCTGCATCTACTCATTTTTAAAATGTAACTTGGAAAACATGAGCTGTGAACACTGGAAAATAAAACCACACACAAATAGGTGCGTGCAGACTCCCACCCGAGGCTGGTGGACGCAGGCTCTCGGAACCCCTCCACCACTCCAGTTACTAAGGACAGCAGTGACAAGGGCCTGGTGAACTGCACTGCTCACGTGTGACCCTGTGGGGTGATAAGCCTTTACCTCACACGAGGTAATGAAAGCACAATGAGGTCACGCAACCTGCCCAATATAAAATGGTAGAGTCTCAGAACCTCAGGTTGAGGGCGATCTCATTTCAGAATGTCTTAGTGCATCTCCACCGACTCACAGGCACAGGCCACACACCACTCACACAGAGTCATCTGCGGCCTCTGCGTGCGCAAAACTTCCACGAGAGCACCCTCTCGAGCGCTGTCCCTGGGGGTTCTCCAGGCCAGCAGAGCCTTCGCTCCATTCCAGAGGGCACCCTGGGAGGGAAGGAAGAGCCCCAGAGCCTCCGGGCTCTACACAACCTGCCTTATTCCAGTCACTCCACCCACCAGCCATCTTGCCTGAGAACAAGAACAAAGAACTGCTTTTATGCTCCCAGCAAAACCAAAGAGGCGCCCTCACTCTGCTGGTGAACAGCAGGGTCTGCACACCTACAAGCCCCAGGATCGGCTCAGTGCAGCCATTCTGACTGGCCACCACCTCTGAATGCCTCTTCCAGCATACCCCACCGTCCCGAGATGCCACACAGTTCTTGTGACCAACTCTGGGTCAGCCGAATGACTCACTCATTCATTACCCCCAGTTACTGTTCTTCCCCTCAGAACTCCGTCACATAAAGTAAATCATGGCTGGAAAAGATACTGAGAGAAATAAAAGACTGTAAAACAGACACCTCATTTGAACGACCCTCACTTCTAAGGTTTAGAAAAAACCTCTGTATATAACTTCAAAGGTAGAAACAACCTTAAAATTGAAGTAACTTCAAATCACAGGACCACTAAAATTAAAGAAGGTTCCTTCTCAGTATCTGCTCTTCTAAGTAGAGAAGGAACAGGGTCACTGCTGTCAGCTCCAGTGATTTCTGAGAAAAGGTCAGAAACCTTTAAGTTTACCATTAAATTTCAACAGCAAAACCAGACATTCGTTTGGTTTATTTCTGTTTGTGTTTATTTCTGTTCAGCTGACAACACTACTCAGGTTCAGAGAATAAACGCAAAAATAGAAAAGGAAGGTGATGCTGGCTGAACCTATTGTGCTTGGCCATGACAAACCAGGGCTGCTGCTTCCCCACAGCTCTGGCTCTCTGGACTAGCAGTGAGGGACTCACTGGTTGTCTTCATATGCAAAAAATCTTAAATGTGCCCTGCAAATCCACCTGGCACTTGGCATGCTACAAAATAAGATATATCGGAGTTAATATTCACAAAACCTCAGCAATAAAATATGAGGGTCTTAATTTGGCATGGGGATTATTTTTAATGGCAAAAACTTAAATCAAGCCTAAAGAACCAACAATCAAAACAGAAAGCTAAACAAGTATTAAATTAAGCTATTGCACATAAAAAAACATTTTCCACAAATATTAACTTTAGCTTTGGCTCAATTACTAAAAACTTACATGTAAGTTACATTTTTTGCCTTCTTAATCACACTTGAAACGTATGAAGGACTCATGTTAAAGAAACTCAAAGGGAGGGTGGGGAAGGGGCCCAGGAGAAGGAAAGACGGTGGGATGAGATGGACACCATTACCCTAGGTACATGTATGACTGCACGATAGTGTGATTCTACTTTGTGCACAATCAGATAAGTGAAAAATTGTGCACCATTTGTGTACAATGAATCGAAGAGCTCTCTGCTATCATGTGTAACTGATCAAAACAAATAAAAAATAAAAAAAGAAACTCAAGAGAGAACATTTCTGTAAACAATGTTTTTTCAATAAAAACACACACCTGTGTACACCAGCTATACTGTAATTTCTTAAAATGGATCACTTGCACAGAGGCAAGATACACACAGAAACAAGTCGCCTTCTCTCACTCTGAATCTCTTTGCTGAGGCTGAGCTCCAGGCTTATTTCAGTGTGCAAATACAGGTCATAAAGGAAAGAAAGAAAATCACTTTTACATGTAAATTGGGATACACTTAAATGTCATCAAGTGGCATTTTACTTACTGCTGGTTCAACTTGACTTCGATCTGCAATATCTATGTGGACAATTTCGACAGTTTTCCATGTGTTTGGATCCAAACTGTGTACCTATAAACAACAAAGAGAAATGAAACAACAAAATCTAGATTAGTCTTGTTAGGTAAAACTATCACACTTACATGTATAACCTCCATCTTGAATCTTRGAATACATTATGGGGAATGAAAAAAATGCAAATTACCCATCATATTAGCTGTCTGATCTTGAGGGATCTAGGAATTATTACAGCCTTAAGCACCCCCAAATAAGGGGGGGACACCAACACATGAAAGAAATCTGTCAATGTCACCTGGTGGTAGTTCTCATCTGACCTGTGTTAAAACAACAAAGTCTTGAAAGCTGTAGGTCACGTGCTAACATAAGGAGTCTCAGAATCAAGCTCCAGGCCGCACTCCAAAACCTCTCCTGAATTTGCTATACCCAAAAGGGTTCATTTTCAGTATGATGTTGACTCCTCTATGCTTTATTGCTGGTCTTTTATTTCTGAAACTTCATGAATCAATTAAGGATTGTTTAAGAACTGCCAACAGATACACCCACTTGAGAGCTGAAAATGGCAGACTAACTAACCCACACATGAATTAAAACACACCAAACTATCTCATCTAAACTCTAAATTTTAGAGAATTACTATGAAATGTCAAATGATCATTTGAAAGAAAACAAAAGTACTACAAATTAAAATTCAAAAGGTCTATTAGAAGGCATCAATTACAAAAGAGCACAGTCCTTAGAACAATAAGAATAGAATTTACCACAATCGTTACCACTAACAGTATATCCTATGATTGGAATGGTAGTTCTCAAACTTGGGTGTACATCAAAAAACCGACTCCTGGATCCCACTCTAGAGCTTGGGATCCAGGAGCTCTAGGGTGGGGACTGAGTATCTGCATTCCTAATGAGTTCCCAGATGCTGCTGCTGGCCCAGGGGCCACACATTGCCAGTGCATCCACCAAGGATGCCAGATGCCCTTTCACATTTCCCAACAAGCCTTAAGAATCATGTCTCTGAGTCCAAGATGATGTTCTTTTTTTTTTTTTTTGGTGCTGGAGATTGAACTCGGGGCACTGGACCACTGAGCCACACGCCCCAGCCCTATTTTGTATTTTATTTAGAGGCAGGGTCTCACTGAAGTTGCTTAGCTCCTTGCTAAGTTGCTGAGGCTGGCTTTGAACTCCTGCCCTAGCCTCCTAAGCCGCTGGGATTACAGGCATGTACCATATGTCCCGTCCTAGCTGATTCTTGAAGCTTGCTTTGGGGATAAATGTGCATCAACTTATAACAAACCAGAAGCTTGTCAACATTTTTGTAAATTATTCAAAGAACCTTCCCCCTCCTGACTTCTGGTCATTTCTCTGACATCAACCAACCCATACTCCAGTAAAGTGGGTAGGAGGTGAAAATCAAAGCAATCATTCCGTTATGCTAGAGCAACTCTGGCAAGTACACAGAGATGAAGGCATTCTACACTAATGGTTAAAACTGGGTTGGGGGATTATCAATAAACTTTGATGATCCACTCTCTCCCCATTCCAGACAGTGTCATGGCAAGAGACTGACAAGGAAAGCCCCCTCTGTTTCTGGTTGGTTGCTTGCTTGCCTCACCTAAATTTGACACGGTCTGATGCGGCCAGCGACTAGTCTGATGCAGGTAACTTCACTTTGTTGACGACAGAATACACTAGACACAGTAATTCCCTTTCCAGGGGTTTCTGCGCTGAAAGTGAGGAGCAGCAACTTAATGTTTTTTTCTTGTTTTTCTTTTATCTAGAACTATTTGTTCTAGTTGGCCCTAGGTGACAGTGGAGTACACAAATGGAGCACAGCTKCTCCTTCCTCTGGCTGCACAGGGTGCAGTCACTCCAGCAGTGTGGCCATCCATGTACATGGGGTGATAATGCCTGTCTCAGGCTACCCTCCTCCCAGCCCTCACAACTTACGTTGTCTGATGTTCCCAAGTCTGGTTTGTGCCATGTCTCAATTTTAATGAAGAAATCATCTTTCATATATTCATTCTGTAGAAAACACAAGAGGAAAGTGACATGATGTTTCACCAGTTCTCCRGAGCTTGTGTACACAGGAGCCTTTACCAGCACCAGCACCATATCATGCTTTGACTCTACCAAGAGACCTACCTCAAGTGACTAACGATCATTAGCTACTGATCTTTACAGACTTGTCAAGCAAACTAAATGCTGCATGCTTCTAAATAATGTAAGCAGTCCTACTTGTCACATAGCTTATAGGGCTAACATAATAATATAGTAAATGCAGCTGTGAGGTTTGGTCAGTAAATCTGGCACTAAAAGGAGGCAGCAAAAGCAAAATGAAATCAATAGGGAGATCTGAAGACAAGACTGGAAAGAGCCCATTAGCCCTGGGGACATATGGTGGAGCAGGACTGGGGGGCGGGGAGCCATGAAGCAATGGGTAGTTTTAGTTTAAAAACAAAAACAAGATAATTACCAAAAAATTAAAAATTACAATATGGACTAAATAAAGATAAGAGAATGGAACACAAAAAAAGTTTTACTCACCGTTACAACTGAGGCACAATGGAGAGGCAGGCAATGAAACAGGAAAAATTTCAGAATATTAATTGGAGTCAAAACAATCTATCCCAATATTTTATGCCACAAAGACTAAACTACCTGAAAACACAGAACATTTAGTAGCTTATGTTTTCAAAATACAGTTTGTACACAAGTGACACCATAGGATACCTTAGATTATGAGGTCCAAATAAAATATGGAGACTAATGTAACTTTAAAATAATGCTGGGGCTGGGGCTCAGGGGTAGAGCACTTGCCCAGCACTGGATTAGATTCTTAGCACCACATAAAATAAATAAAATAAAGATCCATTGACAACTAAGATAAATTTTGAAGAAATAAAATAAAGCTTAAAAGAATAATGTCACAAGAGCAAAACACTATAGAGTTAATTTAGCAAATGACAGCAGCTGTTTCAGAAGTCTGTCATCTCCCTCTCCTGTCACGTGGCAACGTACATAAACTACTGTTGAAAGTCCACCAAGCAGAACTTCTGAGTATGGGTGAGCTTTCTCTAGGATCTCAAAGTATGCATCTGCTCACCCTAGAGCCAGCACAGTCAGCAAGGACATCAGTGTGACTGTCATCTGGGAGTAAACCCCATGCCCTTCACAAGGTAGCCACTCTCCTGCCATCACTCAAACAACCCTTCTCAGAGACCCGGGCACTGGGAGTCCTCGCTCCTCCTCCTCAGCGCAGAGGGGTGAAGTGCTGCTGGGGACGAGGCTTACTTGTCCTGCAGTAGGGGTAGGCATTCCAGGCTTTCTCGTGAAACACCAAGGAGCCCTCAGGAGCAATCATCCTCACGAAGGTGGGAACTTTGCTGTAAGGAGAGAGAGATTGAGAATGGATGTATTTTCACTTCGGTCATTAACTTTTTTGTACCAAAAAATACTTTTATTAAATCTGATCATTACTCTAGATTAATCGGGTAGAAAATTAACATAAAAGTAACAAAATGATTGAGAAAGTTGAATTATATAGAGGGATTCTGTTGTTTTTAAATTTTTAAATAGAAGGAATTCTTTCTTGGAGTTTTTAAATTATTCCCCTGGTATGAAATCTGAGAGTTAACCAAGCTGCCCTAGCTACACATTACTACAACACAAAATTCTCATGTAGTAAAACTATATTATGCTAGTTCCTGAAACACAAAAAGCCCCAGAATAAGAGAATAAATATCTCTAAATAAAAGTCTAATATATTTTATAGAAAAGGCCTGACAAACAGTGACAATGGGAAAGATCACACAGAAAATGAGAAATCCAAACATAATCAATTATAAAATCCTATAGGCTTCACAGGTGACTGTCACTTGCTGCCTATAGTATGAAAAGGGCTGCATACATGACTAGCACCCACCAAGCTTATGCAACTTCCTCACAGGAGCAGTCCCAAAAGACAGACAAAGGACATCCACCAACATATCACCAACAGCAAACACTGCCCACAGGGCTGGGTCGATACCCAGCGTCACAAGTCCGTGCATGCCCCCAACACACACACACACACACACACACACACACACACACACACACTCTCTCTCTCTCTCTCTCTCTCTCTCTCTCTCTCTCTCTCTCTCTCCTCCAAGTAGCTGGGGGTGTAGCTTGGTGATGGAGCACCTGCCTAGAAAATGCTATTAACAAATGGAAAAATCAGTTACCAGTCTTCAAAGAAATGCAAACAAAATGATCATTTGTTTTGACTGGAGCCTTCTGTAAGGAGAGGAGCTTCACCACAAAAGGTTTTCACACATACTTGACTCAAATCTTGACATCACTGAGAAGCTCCAAGATGACCTGGGCTATTACTGGCTTCTCTGAATGTCTCACGTATTAGTGGGGTTCACATTACCTACTGTGCAGGTTCTGAGAAGGTTCAATCAGACAGCATCTGTAATGGATTCAGCACACTGTGCAGTACAATGAGAGCACAAATAATGGTAGTCAACAATTTTAACTATGATCTGCCATGAAGCAAATCACACCTTTACTCATTTAAATCATCCAATAACAATGTGAGGTAATTCATCACTTCAGATAATCAGCACGTAAGAGGCTAAATATCTATAAATCAAAACTATATCCTCCAACTTCAAGCACTATAAACACATATTTCCACATAGCTGTTTCTCTGAGAAATTTCTTCAACTAAAAGAACAAACTCAGAAGACCTGGCATCCAGCAAGGACTTCTGGCCTATAATAAGATTAAGCAGCCGGCCAGAACTATTCTTCTGTTGAATTTTGGAGGTTAAGCAAGGTAAATGGTGAGAAACACACCAGCCAGAGAGCTAAGCGCCAACAGAAGAGGCAGTGCAGACAACCCTCCTTGGAGCCCTCAGATTTCAGGCTCGAGGTACTACAAACAGGTACACAGCTTGGGGCTTTCACCTATTCTGGCACATTAACTCAGGAAAAGAAAAACTAATGTACTATTACATATGACAGTTCAACTGAGATTCCAAGGGCATAAAGAGGTTTACATGTGCCGTCACGGACTTCAAAGATAATAACAGAGCATTAACTCTTTGATCATTGATTCTTTGCAAATCGTGGGATGATTCAAACTTCAGAAATACAAAGCCAGGATAACTGAACATAGTATTACCTTAAAAGTCCAAGAACATCTAGTACAAAAATCTCACATTGCTGAAGAGCTAAAATCAATAGYCCTTTAAATATGGGTGAGACTTAACCAAAGTATACTGCAGCACATACAATTAACCAAAGGCGAGCTACGAGATTACCAGTTTGTCTGAGAGTGGGACAAATACCTATCAGTAATTCAGCTGGTCAACTTAGAAAAGACAGACCAAAACCAGCTATGAAACACATAGCCACCTAGCTCAGAAACACTTTTAACTTCCCTAGAGTGGCCAATAGTGACAATCTTTAAATACTCATAAAATGTTCTAAAATCTGTTGACTCGAATAGAAAAACAAAGTGGCAGCCATTACACAGGCTGTCAAGAACCACATCTACAAGAGGTGGCACTACTTCTCCATCTGCGTCCCAACTGCCCACTCTACTCTCCAGGACCCTCCCCCCCSATGTGAATTCCAACAATTCATTTTTTGTTTGTTTCTTTTGATTTATTTAATAAGGTCCAAATCTTTGAGCTGGTTTTGTTTCAAATTTACTGTCTCTTCTACATGTAACATAAGAACATTGACACTGCTCCTAATGAATCCAAGGAACTGGCTGACCTTGAGGGACATGCACAAATGAAGTAAATAAGATTCTACTTTAAAGAGGAGCAATTGTCAATAATGGCAACCTTGAGGGTTTCGAACAAGGCAATTCAGGTGTGCCATTTATATATAATTAAAAGCATGTACATAATTTTTCCATCAGGAGGTCACTTTAATAAAATGCAGGAAATGCTGCTTAGAGGGCCTCAGAAAAGGGAAAATACTGAATGAATTTACAAAATGAGCTAGGCCTTCAAAATAGAGCACAGGAAAAGGACATTCCTTCGTATGTTCTCCCCAAACTATTCATGAAATGCTATTCTCCCACAACAAGCCAATGTTCCCAACTTGGTTTCAAGGTAACTTCGACCAGATCTCAGCTGTTAAGGTAAGAACTACCCACAGCAGAATGCCCAAAGCTCGACGGCCCCTCCTCCTCCCCACTCTAAATGCACTTTAAAGATGTTTAATTTCATGGTAAAATCCTACCACAGAATCTTATTCAATTATGTTGAAAGGAGATAGTATTAASATCTCAGGGCTGGGCATGGTGGCACACAAGGCTGAGGCAGGAAGATGGCAAGTTCAAAGCCAGCCTCAGCAAGTTAGCAAGGAACTAAGCAATTTAACAAGACCCTGTCTCTAATTAAAATATTAAAAAGGATTGAGGATGTGGCTCAGTGGTTAAGCACCCCTGGGTTCAATCCCTGGTACCTAAATTAATAAATAAATATATATAAAATAACAATAAATCTCACCTTAATAATGGTTGTAAAGCTGTTTGTTTTGAAGCAAGGCAACTTTGTTACAGCAGTACAGGAAAAGAAAGGTTTAAAAGACACATAACAAATCACTATCATGTAACTTCTGATCTTGAAGTATTCCTTTTTAAGTTCTGATTCCTGAGATAAATACTTTGGCAAATCATTTCAAACAGCATTTTTCCCCTGAAAAATTTATATCTACCTATAAATAGCCTAACCACTGAAAAGTTCTATTTCTTATCCTTCTCCGTCCTATGGGAAGAATTAAGACCAAATTACTATGCCATAAATAAAGCAATTAATCTTTCACTTTGTAATCTACTGAAAGAGATCTTAAACACACTGAGCATGTCACTCATTTACCCATACAAGTGTTTACTGAGTGTGCACGGTGCCGGGAGCTGTGCCAATACGGCTGAATAAACAGGGATCAGTCCTTACCTTCCAGGGAAGGAGGCAGAAAACAAACTCTAGACAACAAAAGGCAAAGAGAACTATCAGTCTCCTGCAGTGCAGTGAAATGAGGAAGAGTCAGCAAGGGAGGGCCCTCCGAAGGAGTGACGGGACAATGGTCACCAGAGGGAACGGATGCAGAGAAACAAAATGGCCAATCCTATGATAGCACAAGACTTGGCCTGCTAGAGCCACTGAGGCCTCTAGCATGGCTGCACTGTGGTGACCAAAAGAGCGGAGACAAGATGAAGACGAGGCTGGCTAATGAGGTGGGAAGCCGGCAGATCACATGGGGCCCAGCCCACCTGATGGCCCAGAGTCTGGATTCTGTTCTCTGTAAGGTGGGAAGCCAGTGAGGACACCAAGAAGGGAAATGACACAACCTGCTTTTAAGTTCTGAGATCCTTCTGGATTTGTGAGGAACATTAATTAGAACAAGCAAGAATGAATGGTGGTCAAAATTAACTCAAAATGGATAACAACCTAAATGTAAAYGGAAAATAAAATTCTTCCCAAAAAACCATAGATGTAAATCTTCATAATCTCTGGAATAAGTAATATTTATAATTGACACTAAAACATGAACAATAAAAGATAAAAAAAAAAAACCAATAAAGTGAATTCAACAAAATTAAAAACATTTAAAGCTTTTAAAGATACTGTCAAGGTCTGGGGTTGTGGCTCAATRGCAGAGCGCTTGCCTAGTACATGTGAGGGACTGGGTTCAATCCTAGGCACCTAATAATAATAAATAAAATAATAAAATAAATAAATAGAATAATAAAAGAAATACATAAAATAGAGGTATTGTGTCCATCTGTTACAAAAAAGTAAAAATAAAAAGATACTGTCAAAGAAGTAAAAGACACCCCATAAAACAGAGGAAAAAAAACCACAAATCCTATATCCATTAGATATTAGTATCCAAAATATATAAAGAACTCTTACAATTCAGAAACAAAGAAACTCAAGTCAAACACAGGCCAAAGATTTCAACAGAGAGTTCTTCAAAGACATACAAATAACCAAAGTGCACAAAGATGATGCTCAATATCATTAATCATGAGGAAAATGCAACTCAAATCAAGTAAGGTACCATTTCTCCTCCCTCCCCCCACCAAACAGAGGGCTATAATCACACAGATAATAACAAGTGTTGGTGAGGTTATGGAGAAAATGGAATCTTGTATCCTCCTGGTGGGAATGTAAAATGGTGCAGCTGCTTTGGAAAACAATTTGGYAGTTCCTCAAAAGGTCAACCATACTTATATGACCATCTTATGACYCTCCACTCCACTTGCTGGTTCTCTACCCTGGAGAAATGAAAACACGTTCACACAAAAAACTATGTCCAGGGCTGGGGCTGGGGCTGAGTGGTTGAGCACTTGCCTGGCATGTGTGAGGCCCTGGGTT